AAGTGATTCATCCCTTGTCACCCATTCCCAGCTTCTGGCAAAGAGAACTATATTCTATAATTATATTCTAGAATTTGAAACAAAATAACACTGATCTATGTAAAGTAAATTTGTGGTTTCAGTTCCTAGTGGGGAACAATCCATATCACACAAAGCATCAGTATCATTGGCATTTTTACTAGTAATCAATGATTAAGTAAGTTAGTGAGTCTAGACCGGGGTCTCAAACTCAAATGACCATGAGGGCCACATGAGGACTAGTACATTGGCCCGAGGGCCGCATTACTGACACCTCCCACCCCTGCCGCCCTCGGCCCCGCCCCCACTCCACCCCTTCTATGAGGCCCTGCCCCTGCCCCGCCTCTTCCCACCCCTTCCCTGCCCCCATTCCAACCCCTTCCCCGAAATCCCCACCCCAACTCTGCCCCCTCCCTGACCCCAGGGGGTGCAGGGTGTGGTGGGGGCTCAGGACAGGGAGTTTGGGTGTGGGGTGCAGGAGGGGTGAGGGGTACAGCAAGGGGTCAGGGTGCAGGGTGAGGCAGGGGGCTCAGGGTAGGGGGTTGGGGTGCAAGAGGGGTGCAAGGTGCAGCAGGGGGATCAGGGCAGTGGGTTGGGGTGCAAGAGGAGTGCGGGGTGCGGCAGGGGGTTCAGGGCAGGGGCTCGGGGTGCAGGGTGCGGCAGGGGGCTCAGGGCAGGGGTCAGGGTACAGCGGGGGTCGGAGTGCAGGAGGGGTGCGGTATGGGGCTCAGGGCAGTGGGTTGGGATGCAGGAGTGGTGCGGGGTGAGGCCGGGGGTCGGGGTGCAGGAGGGGTGCAGGGTATGGCAAGGGGTCGGGGTGTAGGGTGTGGCAGGGGGCTCAGGGCAGGGGGTTCGGCTGCAGGAGGGCTTCGGGGGGGCAGGATCTGGCCCGGCGCGTACCGGGAGCAGGGCAGGCTCCCTCCCTGCCTGGCTGTCTGCCCTGCCTCCGCCCCACTCCGGGAAGAGGCTGGAACGTGGGGAAGGGGGGGCAGAGGGGCTGTGTGTTGCTTCAGGCACCGCCGCCAGCAGCTCCCATTGGCCGCGGTTCCCCGTTCCCAGCCAATTGAAGCAACAGACACACACAGCCCCTCCGCCCCCCCTTCCCCATGTTCCAGCCTCTTCCCGGAGCTGCGCAGGGCAGGGCAGGCAGGCACGGAGCCTGCCCTGCTCCCGGTGCACGTCCGGCCGGAGCAGCTCTGGTAAACACTGGGAGAGGGCAGGGGGGCTGCGAGAGGCTCGCGGGCCGCAGAAAATCACCCCGCAGGCCGCATGCGGCCCATGGGCCGCATGTTTGAGACCCCTGGTCTAGACTATCAATTGAACCTCCAAAACCTGGTTGAAGCACTTTGGTGGGAAAATGTGGAAAATGTACCATGCTGCATCTATTCTCTATATTACATACAAAAAAAATCCACCTGTAGGGGAAAAATAGTATGCAATCATGTAAATAATGAATGTATCGCAATACATGTGCACAAGGGGACTGAATTAAGGTTGCCTGGCCAACTGTAAATCTGGCATTCCCCAACATTTGTGTGTTTGATTTTGAAACCTAAATACTGTTCTTTTAACATAGATTTTTGTATGGAATTTCCAAAGAAAAGGCACTTCCCTCCCCGAACCTCAATCCCATTGCTGAATTTCAAAGGCCTGTGGCAAACAATGGAAATGTTAAAGCTTCTCAAAAAGGTCAAAAGAACCTTTTAATGGAAAGTATTAGGCAACCTAAATATCACTACTAAGTCTCTATAATTAATTCTCTTTTTAAAGCAACTCTATATACTAAAACTAAATGATAAATTATTTCCAGTGTCCCATCCGAAATGTTCTACCGCTGAGAATAGTAATATTAAGATTTAAGTTAAAGCAGTTTATGGATTCATTATTTTGGCATTATCGGAAAAGACAGACTATGTTCTGCATTACTGAATTTCCTCTAACTAATTTTCTACAGTATTCCTTGTGGTCATGGAAGACAGATGAACTTTCATATAAATGTGTATGGCTTCAACTATTTCCTCTCCTCTGATAAGGGTGTTGAGTCATGAATAATTTGGGTGAAAGGATAGCAAATTGATACTGATGACAAAATTAGAAATGAGACAAAAATGCCCTGTTGGATAAGAGGTGCCCTTTAACTAGACTTTTCCTTTTTTGAAATAATTCATTTCAAGGTCTTAGTGACAGATAAAATACTTTATTCACATCTGTTAGAAAACAGTGTTTATAAAACCTTTGATATGGAGAGTTCCTAGTGTCCATTGGCACTGAATGTTTACATTTCTGCACACCCCAAAATCTTTTTTAGTGATTGGATGACAGTTAAAGCAAAATGATATTATAATATTCACAGTTAAAGGAATCTAAATATTAAATAAATTACTTATTAATATTAAACCAAAGCCTGTTATCCTTACAGTTTAAATTCCTGAGTTACCTGTACCTCTGACCCTCTTGTGGCTTCCTCGAAGCCACCCAAGTTAGGGGGCAGCTGAAGGCCTGACACCTTTCTCAGGATAGAATCCCGTGATTCTCTCACTTCAGACCACAATATCAGGCTGCAGACTCCTGCAATTCATTGTGTTCGCCTCAGCAGATGTGACCTCAGTTCAGCTCTGTTGAACTCAGTTCATTATTCTCTCTAGGGCAATGGCAGGGTTAACCAGTGACCGGGCAGCTTTCATAAAACAAAGTACTATTTATTTAAAACAAAAAATATTAGAGTAAATGTATCTTAAAAAGAATAAACAGCTTATACACAGGCTAGCTTACAAGGTGGTCACTCATCTACCACCTGCAGACACTAGTAGGTTCTAAAATATTTCAGATCCTCCCTCAAGGTCTAGTTCTGCTGCACTGAGTTTTATGCATGTCAGTTTTCGGATTGTGACCATGACCCTCTCTCCAGATCAAGGCTGTTATTTTCAAGTCCTTTGTCTGCCAAAGCCTTTGAACTAAGTGTCAACCCATCTGTGTGCTATTTTCCCAAGGGGGCAAAACTTCAAAAAGACTTGTTACCTGCATTGTTTAAGTATTGGGGATTAGTTCCTGCAGGAAGCATCTGTTATCTGACCCATTAGGCAGGAATACAATCACTAGCAAGCCCGCAAAGATACATATAACATAAACTTAATACAATAGTCTTTGCATATTTATTCCATGACTCCATAGCATCTATCAGACTTGCCTATATCCTACTCATCCACAACTCCTACTTATTTCAGTGAGTGTGTTGCCCACACATCAACTCATTAAAAAAAAAAAGAGTGAAGACAGCTTAAAGATTTGGTCCAATAATACTTAAAGGAACAAATTAATCCCTGATCTATTCCATTCACTTCATTGGCATTATAGCATGGATAAAGTTGGCCCGGCGGGTAAAAGTGTTGATCTTAATATGATCCTATTTGGATTATTCCTAATCAAGCGATACTTTTGGCTTTGCTCCTAGTTAATGCTCTGTTGGAGCTCTTGACATAGAACATTATATGAGATCAATGACATCATGATAGTCATGAGAGAAGTGCAACTGACATTCGACAAAACAGAGAAATTGACTCTACCCAAATATTGTCAACTACACAAAGAACAGGAAAAAAATTACTAAGATTTGTCTATAATCTTAGTTATTTGAAGCAATTTTTGGATGGAAATATATAATTTTCATGTTCATTGCATCTTTTAAAGAAAGTAGCACCCTATAGAGATATACTGTTAAGAAGATATCTTTATGTGAAGTATTAAATGATACAAGACTATGGGTAGGGGTGCTGGAACAAGTTTTATAGTGGATGGTGCTTAGACCCCACTGAACTAAACTGTAAACCCAATAGGTAATGGAAACCACTTCAAGCCAGGAGTGCGGCAGCATTCCAAGTTCCAGCACCTATGATTATGGGCCAGATTTTTTAAAGTATAGGGCACCTAAAATATCAGCTAGTTGCCTAGTGCAGTGGTTCTCAACCAGGGGTACACGTAACCAGGGGGGTACACAGAAGTCTTCCAGTGGGTACATCAACTCATATAGATATATTTGCTTAGTTTTACAACAGGCTACATAAAAAACCCTAGTAAAGTCAGAACAAATTAAAATTTCATACCGCTCGATACACTAAATGTAAGTACAATATTTATATTCCAATTGATTTATTTTAGAATTATATGGTAAAAATGAGAAAGTAAGTAATTTTTCAGTAATAGTGTGCTGTGACACTTTTGTATTTTTAGCTCTGATTTTGTAAGCAAGTAGTTTTTAAGTAAAGTGAAACTTGGGGTATGCAAGACAAAGCAGACTCCTGAACGGGGTACAGCAGTCTAGAAATGTTGAAAGCCACTGGCCTAGTAGGATTTTCAAACACCTACGCACCTAACTCCCATTGATTTCATGGAAGTTAGGCACCTAGGTACCTTTGAAAATCCCACTAAGTTCCTATCTGCTGCTTTAGGTGCCTAATTACCTTTAGAAATCTGGCCCTATGACATTGGTCCTCTATTCTTGGTTATAAGGCAACAACGTGCTTGATATACTTGAAACAATACAAACTATTACATTTTCAACTAATATATAAAAGAATATAAGAAATTGACCAAGAAAACATATTCAAAGCAATCATGATGCACATCTTCAGACTACATAGTTGCTTGTATACAAGGTTTTCATAAAGCATGTTTTCCAATCTTGTCTTCCTTTTTGTAGATCATAAAAAGGAAGAAACTGTTTTATCTAAAAATAGATTCCCTTAACAGATGTTTCAATATCATTTTAGAAGTGCTCAAAAAAAACCCCACTTATGACAATCCTTGTGTATTCAATATTTGCAAAAATAGAGCTACTTGTTTCAGAACAGAATTCTATTTAATGCAAAAGAATAATGAAGATGCCATTGCTTATGGCAAGATTTTGATAGGGATGTTATATCCTAGCTAATGCTGAACAAACAAACCTGATTTACTTTATTGTAAAATTCAGATATATCTCTTACCCATTCGTAACACACAATCCAGCAGCCCCGGGCAATTCCCAGCATTACATTCAAGGTGCGACGAGGACTCCCTGTAACCACGTGAGTAGTCGTTTCACATACATCATCCGAAAACAAAAAGCCTCCGAGTTTATTCACTACCTGAATAATTGCACACTGCTTCCTGCCAAAACACAGAAGGGGGAGGTGGGGAATCCACAATCAGTAGAACTCAATATTAAATGTTTACTTTATATACAGTAACTATTAGGGTATATGCATAAATGTAAAAATTCAATCAAAACTTTTGCTTAACAGATTTCACAGGGAAATTCCAGTTGTTAAGCACCTCCAAACATCAGGCCACATTTAGCCAGGGTGGATAAAAATCATTTTTTTTTTTAATTTAAAAAAAGGATTTTTTTTAATTTAAATCGGATTTTTTTGATAAAATGCTTTTTGAGGGAAAAAACTATATAAAGATAGTTTTAATTAAGATACATTATAGTTCAAAGAGCTCTCATAATGGAATAGGGATTATAAATTCTAATTCTATAGTACGAGACAATATATTCATGTAATGTTTAAGAAAAGTTTTGTAAATGAATTCCAATAGTTCATGGATTAGGGACCCAATCTTATGGGGTTCCAGAGGCTTCTGTATAGATTATTTAGGTTAATCTTTCTATCTACCCAATAGGACTCAGTGCTAAGTCTAGAAGATACCATCAGAGATGCTTAGTTTTACAGTTCTCAAACTGTGGATTTGTCTCTCCAGAGGTAACATGCTTGTTGACAGCAAAAACGTTCTTAAATAAATAATATATAGAGGTGAGAAATAACAGACCTCAACTCTATCGTCCCTCTGCCAATTTGTGTACACAGAGTCAACCCCTTACCTCTCTCTAAAAGTGCAAAGTTTTAAAAAGTTCAATGAATAGAAGATTGGTGGGGGCAGAATAGATCGGGACAAGAAGTCTGGACATAAATGTGAGAAGTGAGGGACATATGCTTGTTTTGTTAAAATATTATATGTTTGCTGTTGAAGAAAAAAATCCAGAATACTTAACGTTTTTGTTTTAGTTAAATAAAACAATTTAAATGTCTATCTGGTGATGTTCTCCTCCTAATACAGCATGGCAAGAAAATCCTCCAAATATTAATGATTAACCTGTTGAATTGGAGCTAGTTCACCTCCCAATGACTTCATAAATATCTGCTTCAATTACCTTTGGTAAATGAAATAACCAAATAATCATTGGTTTCAGAGTAGCAGCCGTGTTAGTCTGTATCCGCAAAAAGAACAGGAGTACTTTTTTTGTGTGGATACAGACTAACACGGCTGCTACTCTGAAACCTGTCATTATGCAAGGCACTGCATTTAGCCGTATGGAGTGGAAATCCATCAACTTCATGAAATTTGTTAGTCTCTAAGGTGCCACAAGTACTCCTGTTCTTTTTGCAAATAATCATTCATTTTCTGATATAGCTGTAAAACTAATCTGAAATGTTTTCAAAATAAAACCGTTTAAAAATGTATAGTGTGTACCTTCTAAAAGTGAAGAATATGTATTAAGGTTATAACAACCAACAAGAATGCACTTTTATGTAGAAACCCATGATTAAATCGAATCTTCCTAACTAGTGATTTAAATCATGATTTAAATTAATTTGATTTAAATCAAATCCACCCTGCATTTAGCCTAAATATTAAACTAGGTGTCCCAAACTCAAATGCCTAATTTTAAAGTTTTGACCCTACTGTCTAGACACCTCAATACCATCATAAAAATTACTGTATGTTGATTCAATCACCAGATCACGAAGCTCACTAGTCCTACAAGTTATTGCCACCAGATACAATTTCCATGTAAAATACTGAATGTCGACCTGTAACTAGAGTTCTATATATATTACCTATGAATATGAACATTGAAGTACATAAATACATCATCATGTGACCACTGAGATCTTGGTATCCCTGGAAGAAAGATGATGTATGAGAACAATTTACTGCTGCAGTACTGTAACCAAAAGCTTGATTCCAATGTCTTTTCTGTCCACACACCTGACGCCTGGGAGCTGAGGGGAAGCTCAGAAACACCTCTACTCAAGATCAAGTAATTAAGAAACAGCCTGGAGCAGATTCACCCATCTAGTCCAATGCTGATCCTCTCAGGAAAAATAGGCTGAGTTCATATGTCAATCAATGCCATCTTGTAAGCATGTTCAGGACATCTCCTATAGCCTGTGGGGCACTTTTTCATTCCATCCACATTTCTCTCTGCAGAAAGTAACACAATAAAAAAGCTCCCAAAATAAACTGGCTAAAACAAAGAGTGCACAGAACTCTAAGAAGATCCTAAAAGGATTCTTCATAGAGACAGCAACAGCTTTTAAAATGAGATTTAAAGAAAACAAATAGCTTAGCAAATTGACTTCCCACTGAAAGAGATGCCAAGTGCAGAGCTCTTATTAACTTATTTAACTGCCTGAATATAGACTTAGGAGCCTAACTTTAGACCCTCATTTGTGATCATCTTAGCCTTACCTATTTGTCACTGGATATATTTATGCTTCCTTTATCCTGCAGAGTGTTTTAGTTAGACAGAGATTGTGTGTGATGGTCATGGCAACTTTGAACTCACAGGGATGCTGACCCTACCTGGACTATATGCTCAGGGGATATGTTTTACACACTCCTCCCAAAGTTTATCTTGGCTCTTTTTGGTGTCTACATGAGATATGCTCTGGAATGAGAGGAAAGGTCCTACAATATGAATCTGAACTGAAATAGCTCTAATATCATAGTTTACAATAGAAACTAGCCAATTCACATTTCAACAAGCTACAAACCTACTGATACAGATTTACGGGTTTGCAATTCCGTGAAGCACAATATGGCTAGGTATTGCTGTGGGCCAGTGGGTGATGCTATGCTCTTATACAAGGAAAACAATGTCAAGACACCCACTCATCTCACACCTCTATATTTACTTAAATTCCACTGACCCATTTCTATAGCCCTAGCTCTTACTCAGGCAGAACAGGCTCTTGGCAGATGGCTTCTCTCCTAGAGGGATGCATTTCCTCCTCTTTCCAGAGGTAGTCCGCCCCACCCATAGACTGGGGAACACAACCTATAATGTGCTCTCTGTACTCTGAATGCAGTCAGCTCAAAGCACAGACCTCAAAGTAGAAAGCAGACTTTTGAGGGACAAATTTGGTTACCATTAGCCATATACATACCATAACATAAACTAAGGCCTGGTCTACACTATGGGGTTAGGTCAAATTTAGCCGCGTTAGGTTGATTTAAAAATGATTGTGTCCACACAACCAACTCTGTTCCGTCGACCTAAAGGGCTCTTAAAATTGACTTCTGTACTTCTCCCCTGCGAGGGGAGTAGCGCTAAAAACGACCTTGCTGGGTCAAATTTGGGGTAGTGCGGAGGCAAATTGATGGTATTGGCCTCCAGGAGCTATCCCAGAGTGCTCCGTTGTGACCGCTCTGGACAGCACTTTGAACTCCGACGCACTAGCCAAGTGCACAGGAAAAGCCCCGGGAACTTTTGAATTTTATTTCCTGTTTGGTCAGCATGGCGAGCTCAGCAGCACAGGTGACCATGCAGTCCCCCCAGAATCGCAAACGAGCTCCAGCATGGACCGAAAGAGAGACACTGGAACTGATTGCTGTATGGGGAGAAGCATCTGTGCAGGCCGAACTCCGATCAAAAAGAAGAAATGCAAATATATTTGCCAAAAATCTCACAGGGCATGTTGGACAGAGGCTACAACAGGGACACACAGCAGTGCCGTGTGAAAGTTAAGGAGCTCAAGCAAGCCTACCAAAAGACAAAGGAGGCAAACCGTCACTCCGGGTCAGAGCCCCATACATGCCACTTCTATGACCAGCTGCATGGCATTCTAGGTGGAGACCCTACCACTATCCCACCACTGTCCGTGGACACCTGCAAGAGGGGAGTCTCACGCAACAGGGAGGAGGATTTTGCAGATGAGGAGGAGGAGGAGAAGGAGGAAAATGCACAGCAGGCAAGCGGTGAATCCGTTCTCCCCGGCAGCCAGGAACTTTTCATCACCCTGGAGCCAATACCCTCCCAAGGCGGGATCCCCGACCCTGAAGCTGGAGAAGGCACCTCTGGTGAGTGCACATTTGTAACTACAGTACAGGGTTTAAAAGCAATAGTGTTTAATGTTTGATTTGCCCTGAAGAACTGGGATGCATTCGAGGCCAGTACAGCTACTGGAAAGGTCTGTTCACATGTCTGGTGATGGAGCGGGAATCCCTCAGGGACATTTCCATAAAGCTCTCCTGGAGGTACTTTGAAAGCCTTTGCAGAAGGTTTCTGGGGAGGGTTGCCTTATTTCGTCCTCCACAGTAGGACACTTTACCACGCCAAGCCAGTAGCAAGTATTCTGGAATCATTGCAGCACAAAGCATGGCAGCGAATGGTTCTCGGTTTTGGTCGCATTCAAGCAACATTCAGTCTATATCTTTCTGTGTTAGCCTCAGTAGAGTGATATCGTTCATGGTCACCTGGTTGAAATAGGGGAATTTTTGTAAGGGAACAGTAAAAGGACCCCGTTCATGCTGTGCTATTTGCGCTTGGCTAAAAGGGATCATCCCAGAGAATAGCCATGCAGCGGGGCGGAAGGGGGGAAGGGATCATCCCGGAGAATAGCCACGCAGCGGGGGGAGGGGAGAAGGGATCATCCCAGAGAATAGCCACGTGGTGGGGTGGGGGTCGGTGTGTGCTGCACATCCACCCAAAAACCGCAGCCCCTCCTTTTAAATGTGAAACCCAACCCATTGCTTGCTCTGGGAAAGGAGGGTGCTGCAGTTTGAAAATATTCCCACATGTTATGAAGGCGTTAGAAGCCAAACCCGCGTGTCACCACACCAGCAGGCGCTCAATATAAAAGGCAAAATGTGACCTTGTACCTAAAGCACATGTGCTGTCTGCTGTGAATTGCTTGATTCACTGTGAAAGAGTCTCCCTTTTGTTCTCAGAAATGTATCATCTTAAATTTTACTCTCCCTTTTTATCTCCCCCAAGGTGCAAATGTTTCTACACTCCCTCTATCATCTCCATCCCTGAGGTTATCGCAGATTAGAAGGCAAAAAACCCCACACTCACGATCACATGTTTGCTGAGCTCATGTAGTCCTCCCACACTGATCGGGCACAGCTTAATGCATGGAGGCATTCAGTGGCAGAGGCCAGGAAAGAATTAAGTGAGCGCGAAGAGCGGAGGCAGGAGGCGATGCTGAGGCTAATAGGGGATCAAATGGACGTGCTGAAGCATTTGTTCGAGCTGCAGGAAAGCCAACAAGAGCACAGACCCCCGCTGCATCTACTGTATAACCCACTTCAGAGGGTGACCCAAGCAACAGAAGGCTGTCATTCAAACAGTTTGATTATTAGTGTGACTACAATAAACAATGTGGCCTTGTCCTTCCCTCCTCCCGCACCCCACCCGGGCTACCTTGTACGTTATCTCTCTCTTTTTTTTTTTTTAAATTAATAAAGAAAGAATGCATGGTTTCAAAACAATAGTTACTTTATTTCAAAGGGGGGAGGGTGGTTGGCTTACAGGGAATTAAATCAACAAAGGGGGCGGGTTTGCATCAAGGAGGAACATGCACAACTGTCACACCGAAGCCTGGCCAGTCATGAAACTGGTTTTCAAAGCCTCTCTGATGTGCAGCGCGCTTTGCTGTGCTCTTCTAATCGCCCTGGTGTCTGGCTGCTCAAAATCGGACGCCAGGCGATTTGCCTCAATCTCCCACCCCGCCATAAACGTTTCCCCCTTAGTCTCACAGATATTATGGAGCATACAGCAAGCAGCAATAACAATGGGAATGTTGTTTGCGCTGAGGTCTGACCTACTCAGCAAACAGTGCCAGCGAGCTTTTAAACGTCCAAAGGCACATTCTACCACCATTCTGCACTTGCTCAGCCTATAGTTGAACTGCTCCTTACTACTGTCCAGGCTTCCTGCATAAGGCTTCATGAGCCATAGGAGCAAGGGGTAGGCTGGCTCCCCAAATATACCTATTGGCATTTCAACATCCCCAATGGTAATTTTCTGGTCTGGGAAGGAAGTCCCTTCTTGCAACTGTTCAAACAGCCTGGAGTTCCTAAATATGTGAGCGTCATGCACCTTTCCTGGCCATCCCATGTTGATGTCGGTGAAACGTCCCTTGTGATCCACCAGTGCTTGCAGCACCATTGAGAAGTACCCCTTGCAGTTTATGTACTGGTTGGCAAGGTGGTCTGGTGCCAAGATGGGGATATGCGTTCCGTCTATCACCCCACCACAGTTAGGGAATCCCATTGCAGCAAAGCCATCCAGTATGACCTGCACATTTCCCAGAGTCACTACCTTTGATAACAGAATGTCAATGATTGGATCATAGCAACCCCCACAGTAGACTTACCCACTCCAAATTGATTCCCGACTGACCGGTAGCAGTCAGGCATTGCAAGCTTCCACAGGGCTATCGCCACTCGCTTCTCAACTGTCAGGGCAGCTCTCATCTTGGTATTTCTGCGCTTCAGGGTGGGGGAAAGCAACTCACAGAGTTCCAGGAAAGTGGACTTACGCATGCGAAAGTTTCACAGCCACTGTGAATCATCCCATACCTGCAACACTATGCTGTCCCACCAGTCTGTGCTTGTTTGCCTGGCCCAGAATCAGCGTTCCACTGTATCAACCAGCCCCAGTGCCACCATGATGTCCCAATTGCCACAGCCCGTGCTTTCAGGAACGTCTGTGCCCATGTCCTCATCAAAATCCTCCTCGTGCTGGCGTCTCTTAGTCCAGTTCTGCATATGCTCCAGGATAATGCGCGAGGTGTTTACTATGCTCACAACAGCAGCGGTGATGGTGAGCTGAGCGGGCTCCATGCTTGCCGTGGTATGGCGTCTGCATAGGTAACCCAGGAAAAAAGGCGCGAAACGATTGTCTGCTGTTGCTTTCACGGAGGGAGGGGCAACTGACGACATGTACCCGAAACCACCTATGACAATATTTTTGCCCCATCAGGCATTGGGAGCTTAACCCAGAATTCCAATGGGCAGCGGAGACTGTGGGAACTGTGGGATAGCTAGACAAGGGGGATCAATGCAAGAAGATTACATTCTTATATGAGAAAGGATGGTTTTGCAATATGGCCATGAGATCTGGGTTGTTTTTCCAGCTCTGCCAACACTTCCTTCCTGTGTTTTTGGACAAATCACAACCTCCCTGTGCTTCATTTGTCTCATCTGTAACATGGTGATCATATTTACCTACCTTATAGGGGATGCTGCGTTGTGCAGTTAAATGTAAGGCTTGTGAAGTGCACTGATGCTCTAAAATGGATGGGTGTTAGTGTCGAGTTTCATGAGGCATAAAGAAGATAAAAACTAAAACTATATTTTAAGTTTTTCTGCTTCCTGAACTATTATTTTATAATGAAAGTGGAAAAATTGACAGAAACACGGTTAGTAGATATCTTTAAAGAAATGCTTTAGACAAGTGCATTTTTAAAGTATTCATCTTTATATAACCATCATGGTTTATCAAATGTTTTCAAACCTGAAACAGACATGTGGGTGGCACAAATAACGTGTTATTTTTTGTCAAAGGAATTTAACATAAAATGTGGGACTGTGTTTTTGTTGGATGATCTTTATTTTGTAAGAGTTTAAGGAGAATAAAAAGAGTATACCAGAAAAATACTAACTCTTCCACAAATATGTATGTACTATACTGTAGTTTTATTACCTTTAATTGCTGTGTAGGACAACCATAACATGTACTCTAGTCCAGTGGCTCGCAACCTTTCCAGATTACTGCACCCCATTCAGGAGTCTGATTTGCCTATTGTACCCCAAGTTTCACCTCACTTAAAAATTACTTGCTTACAAAATCAGACATAAAAATACAAAGTGTCACAGCACACCATTACTGAAAAATTGCTTATTTTCTCATTTTTACCCTATAATTCAAAAATAAATGAACTGGAATATAAATACTGTACTTACATTTCAGTGTATAGTATATTATATAGAACAGTATAAACAAGTCACTGTCTGTGTGAAATTTTAGTTTGTACTGGCTTCGCTAGTACTTTTTATGTAGCCTGTTGTAAATCTAAGCAAATATATAGATGAGCTGATGTACCCCCTGGAAGACCTCTGTGTACCTCAGGTTGAGAACTCCTGCTCTAGTCTACAGAATAACATCATGTATGTAAGCATATGCATGCCACTCAACAGAAGGAAATATACTTCATGGATAACCTACAAATAAATTTAATTCAGTATGTGAAAGCCAAGACTATAAACAAGTTTAAAATTTACACTGAATAGAAAGACACAAAAATATATAGTACTTACTCAGAGGACATGCTTGTCATGACTAATGTTCTTGTTGGCTAGAGATTTAAAAAAGGAAGAACAAGAAAACAAAGTCAAAAATATGAAAAACTTTTTCCCACAGAAACTAAGTTATAAGAGATTCCACTAAAAACACAAAGTAAATCAGGATTAAGACACTAGTTTGCAGGTCTGCTGCATGTTGCAGGAAATAAGAACTCTGAACAGATTACATGTCACATGATTCCAAGGACAGTGATGGTCAGGCATATCACAAGTGATGCACTTTGGCATCAGGGAAGGCAACCGCTATACACTGCACAAACACTTTCTGCCATCTGCCCTTCTCTGAAGCATAAGCAAATGCTCCAATGGCCCCATCCAAATATGTTAGCAATCACTTAAATGGACAAAAAATTATTTCTTGGGGGAAAATTTAGAATCTATTATAAAAGGTGGACTAGAGCCTCGGAACCCCCTTACACTTGTATCTTAACAAACAACCATTTGTTAAGATACAAGTGTAAAACCACCAATGTGGTGCCTGAGCAAGAGACGGTGCAAACAAGATGGTTCTGTAATACACCTCTACCCCGATATAACGCTGTCCTCGGGAGCCAAAAAATCTTACCGCATTATAGGTGAAACCGCGTTATATTGAACTTACTTTGATCCGCCGGAGTGCGCAGCCCCATGCCCCAGAGCACTACTTTACCGCGTTATATCCGAATTCATGTTATATCGGGCCGCATTATATCGGGGTAGAGGTGTACTAGTTTCAGCTGGTGATAATGATTAATACTTCAAATTAGTTTACAAAAACTTCAGTCCAATGCCACTGTACAGCTACCATACTTTGAGTTACGCCTTCGAGCTGGTAACCAATCATTAGAAGAAAATTAGGTATATTACCAAGATATAGAATATATTCATTCTCTTAGCAAATCTATGCTTTCCTTTAACATAGAAAATTGTGGCAAAGTACTTATTCATCTTTCTGAAGCATATACATTGCATATAGCATCAACCTGTCTACCTAAGAAACAGATATACCTAAAATAAGTTTTCCAAAAACTGAAGGCAAGCAGGTCTGCTTAGTACTATATTATTACATATACTACCCACAGTAACAAAAAGGTATGTAAGGTTTGTTTGAAAATATTTGTATGATTCATATAGTGTTTTAAATAAATCTGTGCTCTAGAAGTTTTCCTACGAATCTATTGATCCACAGGAGATCCACACAGTGTCTCTTCTACTGTTTCCCCATGCCATGCCACAACCCCAAGTTTGCTGACCCCTTCCCACAACTAGTTTCCTTTGAATCATGTACATAGTTGAGAATGCCTAAGATACTATAAATCAGCTTAAAGCTTGTAGCACAGGCTCAAGAGGTGGCTGAACGCCTCACTGCATCTTACTTATTAATGAATCACAATTAGAGAAAGAACAGACCCACAGTATAAACTCCCCTACCAGTACAGAATTATTCTCCATTGCATAGTCAAGTAATATAAGAAGAGGAGAGTTCCTTGGAATTATTTTACTAGACTAATGGCTTTTACTTTGCAGCAAGAATGCGTATTCATTCTTTGATATGAATGGGCTTTAAATAAATAATTTGGCTTCAGATTATACAGTGAGTTATAACTATCAATGTTGTAAATACACTCACATTTTTCCCTTTGCTTAAATGCTTTGTTCCTATCCTTCGTTAATTAGTACATTATTTTGAAAAGAAATGGGACGAGGACACAGAAAAGCCATTAAAAAGACATTTTTCAGAGTTTGAAATAGACAATAAAAACTTAAAGGAAATTCAGAAGAAGAGAGACTAACCACAGTTCAGCTTTTGGGAAATAAATACAGTAACACAGAAATAGAATTTTTAGAAATGTATATATCTGTACATTCAATTTGTGAATAACTGGAGGATGAAGGGGTGATCACTAGCAGCCAGCATGGATTTACTAAGAACAAATCATGCAAAACTAGCTTAATTTCCTTCTTTGACAAGGTAACTGGTTTGGTGGATAGGAAAAATGTGGTGGGCATAATATACCTGGATTTAAGCAAGGCTTTTGACACAGTCCTACATGACATTCTGATATACAAGCTGGAGAAATGTGGGCTCGATGGAACTACCATTGAGTGGATACATAATTGGTTACACAACCTCAAACAAAGAGTCACTGTTAATGGAATGATTACTCCTGGGGGAATTCTGTGCCACTGACAGGGATGCAAAGGGAAGCTGCAAGAGCAGTCACGCACCACTCCCTAGCAGCGCAGTTACATTGTTTCAGGCACCTTGAGCAGCTGGCAGAGATGAAAATCACCCTGGGGCTGGGAACACCCCAGCCAGTGGCTCCTACCCTGAGCCGGGATCAGCTGCTAGTCCCGGCTGGGCTGGAGGCAGGAGAAGATGGGACTTCCTCTTCCCCTGCAAGGAGTGTCTGGGGCTGTGTCAGACCCACCTCCAGAAACCTTCCCCAGCTGCAGGAAGCTCAGCATCCTCCCCTGCTTCCTGCCCCTATCGCTCCTCAGCCACAGGGGGAGAGGTCACTGTGCAGGGAGCTGCTCCCCCATCCGCCCAACCCCCGTGCATCTGGACCTCCCATATCCAGATACCCTCACCAAGCCTCACCCTATACACCCAGAACTCCCCTAGCCCGCCATACCTGAACCCCACCCCACTGAACCTCAACCCCTGCATCTGGAGCCCCCCTGCACCCAGACTTCCTGCCTTCAGATCCCAACCCCTGCACCCAGACCCCCCCCGAGCTCCCTGCACTCAAACCCCCACCCTGATGAGCCTCAGCCCCTGCACCGCCCTGAGCCCCCACATGCAGACCTCCAAGCCAGACCCCCAACTAGCTGCACCTAGACCACCACCCCACCAAGCCCCACTCTCCCAGCACCCAGACCCCTCTGCTGAGCCCCAACCACTGTCACCTGCAAGCCCCATTGCCCCTGCACCTGGAACCCCCACAACAAGCCTCTGTGCATCCAGATCCCCCCACACCTAGACCCCCCCCTGAACTGCCTGCACCCAGATTGTCCCACACAGAATCCTCTCATCCTACACTTGGATCCCCCCACGCTGAGCCCCTTCCACACTTGGATCCTGCCTGGTTGAGCCTGCCTGCCCCACACCTGGTGTAGAGGGGCAGGGCCCCAGGGTGTTTCTGGGACAGGCCTAGGCCTTGTGCTGTGTCAGGGTTGAGTGCAGCCTCACCACTAAGTCTGTGTCCCCGGAGTGGGGTGTGGGGAGGCTGCAGGGTGATCTCCCACCTTCGTACAGCCAGTGGACTGTGCTACCCGCTGCCATGCTGGAGCCTCTGCATTTATTTATTGACAAATAAAGCTTGCAGAGTTTTGCTGAATTTTAAAATATTGTGCACAGAATTTTTAATTTTTTGGCACAGAATCCCTTCAGGAGTAAATGATGGCAATTTGGAAGGAGGTCTCAAGTGGGGTTCCACAGGGATCAGTTCTGGATTTGGTCTTATTTAACATCTTTATTAATTATCTGGATGTATGAATAGAGAGCATACTGATCAAATTTGCAGATGACACAAAGCTGGGGGGGGGGGGGGGCTGCAAACACTTTGGAGGATAGAGCTAAAATTCAAAGGGATCTTGATAAATTGGAGAACTGGCCTACAGATGACTAAATGAACTTCAACAAAGACAAATGTAAGGTGCTACACTTAGGGAAGAAAAACCAAATGCACAAATACAGAATGGGGGATACCTGCTGAGAAGGATATGGGAGTTGTAGAGGATCACAACCTCAGCATGAGTCAACAATGTGATGCTGTTGCAAAAAAAGCAAACACAATTTTGGGTTGCATTAACAGAGCCATAGCATGCAAGTCACGGGAGGTGATAGCGCCGCTCTACTTGGCCCTGGTTAGGCTTCAGCTAGAGTTCTGTGTCCAATTTCGGTCACCAATTTAGAGAAACTAGAAAAGATCCAGAGGCAAGCAACAAAGATGGGATGGATGCAAGCCATATGAGCAAAGGTTGAAGGAACTGGGTAAGTTTAGTTTGGAAAGAGGAGATTAAGGGAGGACATGATAGTGGTCTTCAAATACTCAAAAGGCTGTCATTAAAAAGATGAAGAAAAGTTGTTCTCTTGCCACAGAGCACAGAACAAGAGGCAATGAGTTCAAACTATAGTATAGGAGATTTAAATTAAATCTCAGAAAAAAAAATCCTAACTGTAAGAACAGTAGGACAATAGAACAGACTACCCTAGGGAAGTCATGGAAGCTCTTTCATTGCAGGTTTTCAAAAAGAGGCTGGATAGCCATCCATCTTGGATGGTTTAGATACAACAAAACCTGCATCTTGGCAAGAGATTATACTAAACTGACCCTTGCATCCCTTCTGACTTTATGCTTCTATGATTCTACACATATACAAAATCAGGACAAAAAAAATATTATACCTGAGATTTAGGAAACACTGCTGTAAGTTACACAGGCATTTGATAATAGTTCAAAAGTAAACAATTATAGAATACAAAAGAAATTAAACAGTCAAGTATAGAGGAATAACAAAGTAAACAACAAAAAAAGAGAAAAACAGTGCAAAAAGTGAGGTGGTGTGCTGAAATGGTGGTGATAAACAGGAGCTGTATCTGAAGATTAGCCAGTGTGAAAAACTATGAACTCAATCCTGCTGCACCTTAACTAGAAACATACACTGCATCTTACCAAACACTTAACTTGCTAATGGTAGCACCTGCTGATTATGTCTGTACTTATTGCTATCTTAATGACTGGAAGGAAGATTTTTATTTACATATCTAAGATAATGAAATTTCATTCTTTTCTTAGCCAAAAGATTTTCCACTTTATTTTTGCCAAATTCACATAAGCTGTTAGTGTCAATAGCTCTTGGAATCTTCATCAGCTTAATACAATTTCCTAAAAAAATAAATCCAACTTCTGGACTTTTCATTTTCATATTAGGCACTCAAATACATCCTTCCAATAAAGCCCATATCAACCTGGATCCAGGTGATATGGTCTTGTTTACTACAAGCATG